AAAAAGTGCTTCAATGACATCATCACTAATAGTGGCAGGCGATAAAACCTGAAAAACAATATTTTCTTTTACAAAAAACGCGACGCCTCCACCTCCCGTATGGGCATTACGTGGAAAAGATGATAAATTGTAGCCATTCATAACAATGGTTTCATTGTTTTTTAACCAAGTTTCACTTACTGCGATTACATGAAAACCAGGCACCTGCTGGGAAACATGCCCAACTAAACAGTTAAAGATTTTTTCGTAAACTACCTACGTTGCAGTGGAAAATTGAAAGCCTATCTTCGTTCTGCATGAATTATTCAACATGCTGAAAAGTGAAAGACATGACAAACGTAGTCACACAATTTTTTGCGTCAGGTTCAGAACAGTTACACCACCCTGATCAAATCCCCTTCACACGTGATGTGCAAGAAAGGCGAGTTATCAGTCTTCCGCATGAGGATCTTGCCCTGTGACACTCAACCAAATTTCCAGTTTTTCTCTCGCTTTGCCTGGCGAGCTTTGTTTGGTAATACTTTGTTTTCGACACAAAGATGTTCATTTATGTAAAATGGATCCTCAGCCTGAAATCTTAGGTGGGTGGTGTTTAACCTCGTCTTCTTAGCCGCTGATAGCAGCCTGTCAAGCACCCCACGAGAGGCGAACCTTACCACAATATTGGGTTTCACAGATTCCTCGGTTCCAAGACATGTAGCAATTGCCCTCACAGATGCTGTCAGGTCCTCGTTTGTTACAACTGGAAGCAATTTGATTTCGACATTCTTGTTCCTACTGTGTTGTTTCAGCTCTACTATTTCCCTCTTTGCTTTACTGATCTCCCTGCCGAGCTGTCGGTTTTCCTGAGTCGCTAAACTCGTCGAGCACAACTTTGTGCCCGAAGTTTGCGGAACGCGCTAATTGGACTCTCGCGGCGCTGACGTCACGCTGAGCGAGGTGTCAATCATTAGAACGGCAGAATGTAGCAAAGTTCATCGAGGCGCGCGTGCAGCGCGTGAGGGGCGCTTGGAGCCCGCTGATTCAACGGCTTCGCCGGTGACGTTGCGCCCGTTTTTGCCTACATCCCTACGCCAAGCTAAAATTAATGCTTTGCAGATTGTCCCTAGGCGTCCTGTTGACGCCCCAGATCCCTCCAAAGTTTGTGAAAAAAAAAGTGATTAGAAACCTCGTTTGTCGAAGTTATCGCTGACGTCAAAGGGACGTTTCCGAACTTTACGAGAGCCGTGATTTGAGCTCGAAATCTTCGCTTCGGATTGAGCCGAAGTTAAACTTTGTTTATATGGCGGCGCCGTACGCTGCGGCCGAGCTTATCTTCCGCCACCGTTGGCGTCGCTACCGTCGGCGTCGCTACCTTTCAACTCCCCGACGTCGACTTTCGGCGACAGTACCGGCTATCGAAAGCCGTTGTGCGTTGACTCTGCGACGAGCTTCGTTTGGCGCCCGGACTTCGAGGCGGCGGACAATCGCGTCTACCATGACCGTGAAACAACAAGTTCTCTCAGCGCTCTGGTTCTTCGGAACCGGTAGTTTTCAAGGCATGGTGGCGACTGAAGCGAACCTGTCAGTCTCCCATATGATTGTGAGCCGGGCTGTCAGAGTGTTTGCGGCTGCCATCGTTTTTTTTTTTCCTGTAATATAATGTAGCTGGTATACAATTTAGAATGTTGGAAAACAAACAAGAACCGGGGTAATTCATGGGTAGGGTCGAGTCTCCCGGCAGCTGGCAGAATTATTTCCCCAAAATTCCACTGACAGGCGTCACTCATTGGCGGTCAAATCAGTTCATCGAACGACGTCTCATCGACAGATCGTTTCATCGGCACGCGATGTAATAACATGAAAGAGATTTTCTTCCGTTAGAGGTGTATACACATTAAACATTTTCACACCTTTATACATATAAGTGGGGTGTCCCATAACTAACACCCTAATAAGTGTAGCAATAGACGTTTTGAAAAAAATATAAACCTCACACCCTTAAAAGGTGATTTTTAAACACGTTTTTTAAGACGTGTGATTATGCACTACACATTTTTATAAAGGTGTAAAACTACAATACACCTAACTGCGCTTTTTTTTGTTTATGTGCACATTTGAAAACCTCTGTTATAAAGTGTTGTTTATGCTGTATGATAAATTGTATAACGCCGCCTTATATTATATGGACGCGTTTGTGTTCATGTGTTTTGCCGTATGTATTACTATTATATTTATTATGTATGCTATTTCTCCTGCTGGGGCCCATGTGGGGCCTGCAGTATATGTAAATAAAAATAAAAAGGTGTAATTACTACAGTACACTTCTTTTTTGGGGTGTACGCAGTGGCCCGGGACCCAATAAAATGACTGAACACATAAATTACACAAACGAGTCGCCGAACCAGCACGTCGCTACTTGGTCAGTGTCGAGGCAATTTCGGCCGAACACCGGCTCCAATATTGGCCGGATGTACGGTTTTGCGCCTCGTTCCGACATCCGGCAGGTATGGGCGTACTGATGCAAATAAACGATTTATGGCTAATAGCACTGGCACCAATGATCTTTCAGTAGGCTGGATCGCGGATAGAGGCCTGTATTGCTGGGGCCGAGCAACACTGCCGGCAGTCATCGCTTGACACGTGCTAATGCATGCTATAGGAAATAGGAGAAACGGGAAAACTGAATTTTATTACGTTAGTAGGTTGTTTTCGGCCATGAAACTTCTATATTGTTTTCCGCAAATAACAGTTAATATTGTGGGCAAGAATATTAAACGCGTTAGAATACCCATCATTTTTAGATAGATGTTGGGTGTTTGAGGGTCTAGGACGACATTGTTGGGCGTTAACTGTGATTTATTTAATGAGCCAAAGTTACCGAGAGTTATTGTGGAGTCATACGGTGATCTCGGAGTCATCAGAGCTCAGCAAACGATAAGCTAGAATACCTTTACTGGAACATTCGCATCGTTTTAACCGCTTGTGTATAGTACTTCCGGTGAAAGCTTCCTGTTTGAACTGCTCTGAGGGTTTCCGTGACAAACTCAAACTCGGAGCGTGCTGTTCCGTCGCTGAACGTGCCATTTATTTAGCAACCGAAGCAAGCGACGTCGGTAAACTCGGCGGTGCTCCGGCCAATTTTTTTTAAATCAATGTTTGAACGATTGACGAATGTCTGTTTGATCTCCAAGCACTCGAAATAATGATCGCAGCACGTCATAAAATACTCGCCCTCGAGCACCGCGTACAACCTTCCTACTTTTGCGTGTTTCTCCCTTAGACTTGCGTGTACTGCCTGTTGTCAAGCAATGGCCGCCGGTGATGCCAGGGACGGGCTCCCCATCCGCGATCCAGACTTTCACTGTGAGAGTTCTAAAGCATTGCACCCGCGGAGTGCGGCACGGAGAACCGGCCCCAAACGAACTTGCCGAATGCACCGAGTGCAGACTGATGCTGTCGCCATAGATGTTGTAGGAAAGTACCGACCTCAAACCGAAACTAGCGCCTTTTTGTTCGACGTGGTGGGTGGGAATGCGAGAGTGCCCAGTCGCTGCCATTGTTTATCTATAAACGTTGGTTGCTGCAACGTGGAACTTACATTTGCGATGACTTCCAATTAAGTAGCTCGGCGTCAGAGATATCTACAGACGGTGTAAGTTTCCGCAACCAGCTGACTACAAAACAGCATACACTTGAGACAATTGATGGCACTGTGCGCGCAAGAGCTTGCTTCGTTTTAAGCATGGTATTATGAGTGAACTACTTAAAGGATACGGCTTAAATCTAGTTTGTTGGAATATCTAGAAATACGTTTCGTAAGACGTTTTATTTCCCTGGTGAAGGCATTAAGAACCAGAGCTTTCTCAAACAAAATACGACGGGCAAGATAGCTGCCGTTCAAAAATGGCTTTGCTCAACCCTCGGGCAACGTCTCCATGTTTAGCTTTCCCGGACGCTGAGTGAATGCATCACAGGTTTCTGCTGTGGGAGCTTTGTCGACAAATTTTCCACATTTCACTCGCACACTGATGATCTCGCGGCCTCTGTGTTTATCCTGAGTCTTTCAGTACACACTGGTAGGTTTCAGCGTCTGTACGGCAACATAGCGACTCCAAGTTCGCAAATAAAGCACGGGTCGTCGATTCCTCCCTTCGTGAAATATCAGACGCTTATAATTTAAGCTCGCGTTTGAGTTTGTGGTTCGCGGGACGCGATTTCGAGCAGAAAATCTACTTTTGGTTTCGGTTCTGCTGTGCGAATGCCTCATCGACTCATCGTAGCAGACGAACTCGCGTCGTCTGCTCTCGCTCCTCGTCTGAGCGAGGCATGACAGTATCGAATTTCGGCCCAACGGAGCTACAGAGCACAAAGACAACGCACATTGAGCGGCGTGAACGCTCGCCTCCCCGCGCTGTGTTGTGCTCTCGTGCACCATCTAGGGATCGCGGGGGATTTTTCGTCAAAAGTTGCGAAGTTGACCGCGCGCCGGGAGGAGGAAACTTTGCGGCGTTCTTTTGGTCACTCCCCCCGCTGCGTCAGAAAGCAAAGAATGTTTCGTTCCACGAGTTTAGCGACCCTGGAGTAGCCGAGAACTTCTTTTTTATTTTTGGTTTACTTCCGTTAGGTTTTGGCGAAAGCCCACATCATCCTTCTTGACTTGCTCAACATCCGCGTTCAGGAATGTGATAGATTCTCGTATACCAACGAGCTCGGCATAGATTTCAGTGTTCAAACTTGACACATTCGCGACGTCTTTTTTATGTCTGTCGCAAATGCATCTAGCTTAACTACTAGGTCACTTAGGACTCTGACGATTTTCTTTATGCTATTGGGTGGCTTCTCTCCCATAGCCTTGTAAGAGCAGTGTAGGTACAACTAGAGCAACGGCAGGAGTTCCTTGATTGGTGGTTCTTGATAACATCGTTGCAACCTCCAAGCTGCGTTCTTTCCATCAAAGCTAGTGGTATGGTGCAATTTTATGAGAATAGTGAATATATGGTTCCCGATGGCAGACTTACACTGTTTCAGTGTGCAGCACTTCCTCGAGGTCGATATCTTGAAACGAGAAAGTTAGAAAACATCCACTGCAATAGTCCGCGTCTTTGCTTCAAATATGCAACTCACTTGGAACTCTGATATCGTTACGTTATTCTGTCTATTCAAAATTCCGGGTGAGGTAAGTTATGAGAACACTAGGCAATAAACTGTACAAGGTGAGGCTCAGACATCAGTTCTGGCGAAGTCTTGGAATATCAAGCACATTTCACGCAGCCAAACCATCATTGAACAAACCGTATGTACGGAATATCTAATTCTAGTTCGAACATATTTCGAACCTGCACAAACACAATATCGAATTTTGTTTGTGCAGGTGAGTTACAAATACCTTACTAAAATTTGTTATATAATTTTTTAATCCCTGGAAACAAATACTTGGTTCCAATTGGAGACTTGCTGAGAGTCATCGAAAACTATACTAACTCAGCCGATTTTATAAAAAAAAGAAAACAAATTATTGAAGCAAGTGGGGAGCGCAATACCGCGCTAACGTTCCACTCGTACAGCGGATACAGGGCCAGCGGTGCCAAAACGTGGATGCTACGATTGTCATTCGCGTTTTCCACCGCTAGCATTGTGCCTGTTGCACAAGTGCGGGAGTTTTACGCGCTCCCACGCTTTCCACGTGCATCAAGTATCTCTAAAATCGACTGATTTTGTAGTTTTCGATGACACTCATTGCACTACTCTGAAATCTTGTTTTATTATTTAAAAAGCAATTACCGCATTTTAGTTAATTATTTGACTTATTATGAGAATTAACCTTCTATATTATGTCCCCCTGGCCATAAAACTCACCTGCACAGACAACATTAGTGAAGCTTTCACAGATTCTAAAAAATTAATTCGTTCGTTTTAAAATTGAGCGAACTTCTTGAAACGGGAATGCGTGAGTAAAAAAGCTCAACGTGAGAAATCGACCCCTTGCAAGAATTGTGCAGTCTATGAAATTCCGACGTCATGTTGATCTACATACGTAGGGCACACTTTGGAGTGTGTTAATGAGTGCTAATGAGCGGGTGTTAGGTTTCTCAGCGTTGACACAATATCAATACAGACGAACAGGGTGACGAAGAAGCGCTTACTGTCGCTTTGACTCCCTTTGCGGCGAAGCATCTCGTTGACGCGCTTGGTCAGCTTGCTCTGGGAAATCTCGAAGATGAGCGTGTCCACAATGGTCATCGTGATGCTGGTGACGGCGACGTTGCTGATGAACATGGACAAGAAGAAGACGATCAGCATAAACCACAGCATAAGCCACTTGACTCGGGGTCCCACGAACAAGATGAGGTTGTACGAGATGCGCCGGTTCAGGCCACAGTTCTGGGCGATCAGCGCGACCGTGAGACCCGCGATGCAATTGGCGATCGGCTCCTGTGGCGGACGAAGCACGGGGAAGCTACAGGTATACCTTCTTTCTTTTTTCCTTCCTAGTGCGAGTTCTTCTTACATTAAAATAGAATCGTGCGAGTGTCTTCGTGTCAGTTAGGTTGAGCATGGGGCCCGCAATGAGTGGAAAAAAGGAAGTGATCTGGTACGGCACAGGCTCGAAGACCCACAGCATTAACATTGTTGCCATGATGTACAGGCATTTGACGGGCTGCAGAATGCAAGGATTGGTCAAGTTGTGCCGCTGTTCACTCTTAATTGCCGTAGAATGTTGCGTTCATATTTTTGCTGCTTTGTTTGAAGGATTAAAGCGTGCACAAACCTTGGAGCCGAAAACGAAGACCATGGGCAAGAGGAAGAACGGTGCGATGTAGCCAATGGCTAACTTCATGAATCTGTATGCGCTCTGACTTCGTGCGCCATAGAAATCTCCGTCCTGACGCGACAGTTCGGTCCCTACTGTGTCCGGTGGTCTCATTGTCCTGGAAGCATTAAATGGCACGCGTGATTTTAGGTACTTCACGTGTTACAACTTAGCCCGAGACTGGGGTATGAAATAGAAATTTCAGCGTAGAGGGGGCAGAAACAGGGAAGAAGAGACGTTTAAACGAAGCCAAAAGGTTTATTCAGTTCCACCTCCTTATATACACCACCACAAGGTCCTTTCGCTGGGACACGATACATTAGGACACACAAAGCAACAACCAGAACAGGACAAAGTCGCTGGAAGGTCAATGGAAGAGAGGAAGCGGGGCAGGGTATACAGATGAGTTCATCAAAAGGTATCTAAATCTACACACGAAGGAGAACAAAAGGAAGGAAAAACACGTGAGAAAGACTACGGCCGTGATCCCGTATTTTTATGGAATTCATGGAATTTATGAACTTGAAGGCGTGTGCTAAGCAGTTTGAAGTGGAAAGAGTTTTTAGTTCTGATTTCTGGTTAGGTAGACTAACTCCTTTTGAAACAGGAGTGCAAGAGGGAAGAAAAGCTCACCGTGAGAAATCGACCCCTTGCAATGAAATTACGATAACATGCGGATTTGCATATATAGGGCATGCTTCAAGGTGCGTTAATGATAGACTAACCGAACACACGAGAAAATTAGGGATTAACTCAACTGATTTGGAAACATCAAAGCACTGCTTTGTGATCAGGAACGGAAATAAGACATAGAGAAGCGAATGGCAGTGAAAAGGGAAACTGTTCGAATAAAATCAATTAGTAACTGTATTAGTCAGGCATCGCTGCAGTCAGGGAACGATGCTAAAGCATTTGTGAGACTAGCCCATTTTTTATGTTGGTGTTTGCGTTTGTTTTTCTTTTATGTGTAATATATTCTGAAGGCGAAGCGCGACAGCACTTTGCTAGAGTGAGTCCAGAAGCCTCTGTCTTTTGAAGTTTGTGCTCCGGATTGGTAGAGTTGAAGAAGTTTAAGTTACTGCCCAGTTTAATTTTGCTTTTTAGCGCGTTGGTCTTTGTATTTATCTTCGGGGTCAATATTATTCGCGGGTGTAGTGCCATGTTCTACAACGCATAAATTTTCTTCTTTGTGGAAGGTTGTGCAAGTTGGGAAGGTTTGATGTAGGTTATCTATTTTGTTCGTTGAGGGTTCATTTCTTTGTCCTTTTCTGGTTGTTCTTTTGTGTGTCCTGGTGTATTGCGTTCTAGCGAAGGGCAAGATGTGTGGTTGGTGACCTTCCGGCCGTGTGTAAATGAGAAGTTAGGACTGAATCAACCTTTTAGCTGCGTTTTAGACGTCTCTTCTTCCCTGTTTCTTCCCCTTCTACGTTTAACTTTGTAATTTATACCCCCGTCTCGTGTTAAGTTCCAACATGGTAAACATCCACCAGCTCAGCTGTACTATAACAGTTGTTTTCTTTAGGGGTGTAATATTTGGTGCTTGGTGGCGCCCTTAGGGGGCGCCACCAAGCAGGGATAGTCGGAAAACGACGACGAGAAACGATCACGTGACGCGTGACATGGGTGTGGCCCGAGTAGGAGTCGACATTGCGCATACCATGGAACGTCAACAATAAACCAGGAATATTACCTGGCGTCAGAAGTGTAAGCGATAAAGATCCACTGAAGAGCCGTGAGTACCGAACGCGGCAATGCAGAATCCTCCAGGAACATCGGGAGTACCGAGCGCGACCAGGCAGAATGCGTCGGTATCGGGAGTACCAAGCACACACGCAAGTATCCTGACAAGCCTACTGCCGCCACCCCGATCGTTGGATTTGAGCGGCGATCTGGAGCAAGTATGAAAGATGTGGTACGAGGAATTCACGTTGTACTCTACGGCTACAGGCAGGCTCAAGACTCAGCAGTACAATCGCCCACGTTCCCGGTAATCATTGGCGATGACGCACATCGCGTCTATCATACATTCACATTTGCAAATGAGGCGGACCGACACGACCTCGACACTGTGATAGAAAAGTTTCACGCACACTGCAGGTCGGCAGTGAACCAAACGTGCCGGGAGCTTGTTTTTGGAATGCAGAATCAGAAACCAGGAGAGAAGTTCGACAACTGGCTGACGGAGCTTCGCACGCTTGCCGCGAACTGCGACTTCGGGGCAATGCACGGCAGGATGTTGCGCAGTCGAGGCATCCTTGATGCACTTAACAAGAAATTACAGCAGAAACTGATCAACGAAGATCCAACGTTGGAGAAGGTGGTCCAACAATGCAGAACGGCAGAAAAGGGAGTTGAACAGTTTCGAGAGATACAATCGCTGCCAAGGCTGCAACAGCGACGCCAGAAGTGTGCGCTCCTTCAGGAGGAAAGCAGTGTTTTCAGTGCGGGTACACCACTCAAACAAGTAGAACATGCCCAGCGAAAACAGCCCGAAATGCAAGGTATGTGGACGCAAGGGACATTTCGCGCGGGTGTGCCGTACGACAAACAAATAAGATTTCCAAAAGTCTAAACAGAAATCTGCTCACCAGAATGTCAGGCAGCTACATGAACAGGACAATGACGATGATGACACCCTTGTGATTAGTTCTGTAGCACACTCAACGAAAGCCTGAGAAGTGGAAGTGTCCATCGAAGGTCAGCCTGTGAACTGCCGAGTTGACACAGGGGCAGACTGTTGTGTAATCTCTGGGAGACTGCTTCATATTCTATCCAAACGCTCAGCTCGAGAATGCAGTGTACACCTTAGTTCTTACTTCAGTCATGTGCAGACTGCAAGTGGCAAGATCACTTTGCACGTGCAGCACAAGGGGTGTGTGTCGGATGTCGACTTCTACGCTGTAAAGCAGAACGTGCCTACGACTCTGAGTGGAGTGGTATCGGAAGAACTACAGATCCTTCGACGAGTTGCCTCCGTCCAACCATAGAAAACTGATCTTCTTAAAAAGTATGAAGATGCGTTTGAGGGACTGGGAACAATCAAAGGCGTGAAATACAATATGAAGCTAAAGCCAGACGCGGAAGGTGCAGTTCACCAGCCAAGAAATGTGGCTGCTGCGATTAGGGATGACCTAAAAATGATCTTCTTAAAAAGTATGAAGATGCGTTTGAGGGACTGGGAACAATCAAAGGCGTGAAATACAATATGAAGCTAAAGCCAGACGCGGAAGGTGCAGTTCACCAGCCAAGAAATGTGGCTGCTGCGATTAGGGATGACCTAAAAAAAGAGCTAGATCGGATGCTCAAAGAGAAAATAATCACACCAGTGTCAAAACCTACTGAATAGGTTCATCGGATTGAAGTTGTAAGAAGAAGCAACGGCAAGTTGCGTGTTTGCATTGATCCCTAGACACTGAACAAGGTTCTACAAGGGGAGCATTTCTACATGCAAACCTCAGAGGACATCGCAACACGCGTGCATAAGGCGAGGTATTTTTCAGCACTGGATGCCTCAACAGGGTTTTGTCAAATTCAGCTGTATATGAAGAGCTCCTACTTGTGCACCTTTGCAACACTTTTTTGGCTTTTTGGACGCTACCGTTTCCTCAAGATGCCCTACGGTATCTCAGCTGCACCTGAGGTTTTCCAGAAGACGATGCTTCATGTCCTCGAGGGACTTGAGGGCGTTGAGGTAATGATAGACGACATTTTGGTATGGGGAGAAACGGTACAACAGCATGATGAGAGACTGCAGGTAGTTCTACAGCGGTGCAGGGACGTCAACCTAACGTTGAACAAGGCAAAATGCAAATTCCTTCAGACCGAAATAAGATGCCTGGGTCACATCTTCTCAGACAATGACCTACAGGTGGACCAGGAACCACTCGGTGACATCCTCAGCATCACAACGCCACAAAACACCAAAGACTTAAAAAGTTTTCTTGGAGGCATCACCTATGTGAACAGGTTCATTCCGCATATGGCGGAATTCGGTGCTCCACTGCGAGAACTTCTGAGGAAGGACGTGTCATGGAGCTGGGACGAGCACCATGGGAGCACTTTCCAGGCACTTCGGGAAGCATTGAAAAAGGCCCCGGTGTTGCGATTTTATGACAAGCAGAAGCCTCTCACTCTTTCAGTTGATGCCAGCTCTCATGGACTAAGAGCGGTCCTACTTCAAGGAGGTCAACCTGTGGCCTACTCGTCACGGTCTCTAACAGAGACACAAGTGCGTTATACGTAAATTAAAAAGAGACCCCTTGCCGTCGCCCGCAGATGCACACGTTTCGAGGATTACGTCTTCGGACAAACCGTCCAAGTTGAAAGTGACCACGAGTCACTAGAAGCAATCTTCCAAAATCCACTGAACCAGTGCCCGCTTCGAGTGCAAGAGATGCGGCTAACCTTGCAGAAGTATGACATCCAGGTGAAGTACAAACCTGGCAAAGCACTCTACGTAGCTGACACCCTATCGCGATATCCATCAAGTGGAATACACCACGAAGACTACGAGGTGAACACACTGGAGGTCCTCCCAGTCACAGACAAGAAGCTGGAGGAGTTCCGTGGGGCAATCGCGGAAGATGAAGACATGAAGATACTGCTACAGTGTGCAGCGACTGAGGGGCCAAACGAAACGATGCAGGTTCGTGAGAGGTTTCGATCCTACTGGTCCTATCGGGACGAGGTCCATGCTGAGAAAGGACTTCTGCTTCGTTCCAACCGGCTAATAGCCCCAAGAAAACTTTGACCAGAGGTGCTCCGCCTTCTGCACGCATCGCATGGGGGTATCGTGAAGACCAAACACAAAGCCCGAGAAGTGCTGT